ACCACCATGTCCGGTGCCAGGCACCGTCCTATCCAGTGACCTCATAGAAACAGCTCCAAAGGGTATAATGGCTCTATTTGCTTGTGTGGCAATAAATAGAGGGTGTGGCCAGCCTTGGCCACTCTCTTGGCTCCTCATACACTTGTGCACACCTTTTGGAAGCTAAGCAACACACTCCACTCACTTGTTCACTTGATTTCATCATCTAGAGTGAGATTGGAGAGCCTCTAGTGCATTGCATTGAGTTGTATCATCTCGTGGCACTAGTTGGGTGATTTGGGCTAGTTGTGAGCTTGTTACTCTTGGTGTTTGTCGACACCTATATGACCTGATGTTGGAGGATCATTGAGCAGAGTTGGTGATTGTCTCCGGCCTCGATTGGTTGTTTATGAGGGGTCTTGTGCCTTCCCTGGCGGAGCGCCAAAGGCAACTCTAGTAAATTGCTCGTGTCATTGAGCTACCTCACTTGTGGGTAGGTTCTTGCGGTGTCCAATTGTGTGGACAAGATTCATGCAACACCTCTTAGCCACCGAACCACCAAGTGTTGGTCGACACAATGGGGACTAGCGTGCCGGCAAGCACGTGAACCTCGAGAGAAAAATCTTGTGTCTCTTGTGTGATTAGATTTCTCCCAGTGATTGGATTGTCTTCATCTTGTGATTGGTTCATTCCTCGACGCGGTGGTATAATCACCATACTCACTCTTTTACATTCCTTGCAAACTAGTTGTCAAGCTCTTTAGTGTAATTAGTTTTGAGAGCTTGTCTTGCTTGCTAGTTTAGTATCACCTAGTGGAGCTCTTTAGTGTAGACTTGTTGAGAGCTCTTAGTGAGTAGTGACATAGCCATTGTTTGTGCCTAGTGATCATAGCAACTAGAATTGTTAGATAGGTGGCTTGCAACCATTGTAGAGCTAGAGCAAAATTGTAATTAGCCATTTAGGTTACAAACCACTTGCTCTAGTGTGTTTGTAGAAAAAATTTTATAGGCTATTCACCCCCCCCCCTCTAGTCATTTAGGACCTTTCACCTACCCTTTGCCATTTAGGACCTTTCACCTACCCCTTTTGGCACTTGTTGACAAAGAGAGAGTGTTAGGCTTTGATTATCATGTAATAGGTTAGTTGATCGCTTAGAGTTTGTGAGACTTTGAACTATGTGGTTTGTATTAACTATGTCATATGGTGGCACTATGTGTTGGACAACTATATATGTGTGTATGATGGATGATTGTAGGACAAGTAATGTTTATCTATCTATCGTTTTAGCTTGTGCTTGTCTCTACTTGTGATGGTGGATGTTATTTTTTATGGCCATGTGTTGTTCAAGTTTTCACTTTGAGATCTTGGCCATCACATTCTCTTTTACTTGTTTTATGAATATAACATGTCATATTGCATATCTTTTTTACGGATATATACTTGTTCATATACACTTGTTGCATCTCACGAATTGCAAAATTTAGGGGAGCTTTTGTGTCTTGATATATGCAAATGATGAATAAATTATCATCATTGAAATTCAAATTCATAGCACATATTAAGGAGGAGCTCTATAAATTTTGGGGTTCAAAAGCTTAAATTCTTTCATTCTTATAAAAGCCTAAGTTGGTTATCATCAATTACCAAAAAAAGAAGAGATTGAAAGTGCATTTGCCCCCTATGTGAGTTTTGATGTATTGATGACATCCAAATTAGGAACTAATGAGATCTTAATGAGATATATTGCAGCTTTAGTCCCTTGTAAGAATTAAAGAGTTGATCTAAGATGAAATGGTATCCCTTAATTCTTGAAGTTGAAAAGGCGGACGAACTCAAAGCGCTCTTCAAAGTTTTTATCTTTCATTTTGAGTTTAGGTTTTGCCGTACTATAAAGAGGAATGCAAGTTTAAGTGGTCTGAGGAAGATAGAGTGCTCAAGTATAAAAATAAAATCAAAAGAGAGACACTCTAACACTTCACAAGCATGTAGAATATTTTTCGGAGACTTTTGGTGTTGGAAGTCCCGACGTAAGTCAGAACTCCCGACCATCAGAAGTCCGAACTCTGGTCGGAAGTCCCAATGCCTAGTCACTTAGCCTGCGCGATGACTGCGGTTGTCGAAAGTCCCGATGTGAGTTGGAACTCCCGACAGTCGAAAGTCTCGACTCAGGTTGAGAGTCCCAGCGCCTGGACCGTTGGCTGGCCTACTGACCGTCTTCGTCGAAAGTCCCAACATATGTCGGGAGTCCCGACCATAGGAAGTCCCGACGTACGCTGGGAGTTCCGATGTTGACTTGCTCGTGCTGACTTTGACCTTGCTATGAACAGTGTTTTCTATAGAGGTTGGAAGTCCTAAGATCTACGTCGAAACTTCTGACGTAGATCTAAACGGTCAGATTTCTACTATGAGTATAAATAGCTCTCTTCTCTCTTCTAACAGTTACCCACTCATTCATTGCCAGCAACCTTCGTCCACAACTACTCCCAAGCATTCAAGAATTCCCTCTCCTCTCCCCTTTGCTCCTAACTTGAGAATCGACACCATGACGAGGAAAAGCTTGAGACGAACCATGATGGCGAAAAGTCCCTTATACATTGCTCGATGATGGCAATCGACTCAAAAGCAGTGTGCTTAGGGACAGGAATTTGCTTTTTTTGCAAGAATCGAGCATAGAAGCTACCCCAAACAGGGCCTTCGTATAGTATCTGCTTTATTGGAATGAGTTTTCTATCAGGGCTTCTCCATCACTTCACCATAGCGTACTGCCTCATCCTTCAACTTTGCAGTGAACATCCATATCACAGGCATCAGTAGCCTTGCAGGTTGTTAGAGAAGCCTATAGAGGACGCTATACTTTGTCTGACAAAAGCGGTAGACATTAAATGGAGAACATGTTGTAGGGAGGAAGCCCCGCCCTCCTTTGGGATCATGTTCATATTCCCATATTATTTCTATCAAGACCCTCATGGAATAATGCATTGATGTATGTTACCCCAAGTTAGACCTAGGAATTGGACGACTTGCAGCCTACGTTGGGAGTTTTGGAAATCCAAGCCCTTCATGCCTATATGGCATGTTGCTTTTGCCTCGAACATACGTTCATATTCCCCTGCGTTTGTGAAGCCCTACGTTAAAGTATTGATAAGTTAGCTTAAGATAGAGAAGCCTCTTTCACCGTCAACGGATCGGATAAGGTCTGACACATACGGATACGAGTATGGATAGCTAAATTAAACCTTAGAGATATTTTGGATAAGATATGAATGGATATCAATACTATATGTATCCAAAATTTGGGTATCAGAATAGGGTACAAATACTAAATCTACATATTCGGATATAATACATTTCATACGAATAAGCAAGTCTTTCAATCGGTTAGAGAAATATCCATCCCGTTTACACCACATGCATGGGCATGCGGCACACCCTCGTCTCGCCGATTCTGTTGCCACCAAGACCATCCAGTTTCTTGTAGTTAATTTATTCACGAACATGGTGTTGTTGTGGCTCAATGACTCAGAAGCCTAGTTTACGACCATCTTAGTCTAGCTTTTGTTCAGGCCAGTGACATGCTAATGGCTGGACATGCAATACCCATTGGAGGCAACGCCATGTTCTAGTCCGTGAGCGGACGCTACAAGCTCATCAACTCCACTTGATGATGACACCTTTGCAGTATAGTGCCTAAGACCTACACCATCTAGGACACCTACCTTGGCGGCCAGAGGCGGAGCCACAGGGTATCGCCGGGTATGCCCGGGCATACCCTGTTTGACCGGCTAGGAGCTCTGCACCATCTAGGACACCTACCTTGGCGGAATGGCGGCCAAAATGGACGGAGGAAAGAGATCTTTCATACCCCCCTCTTTCTCTCTCTTCGGATTGATCATATGGTTATTCTAATGGCTGAAGTGTCCCACATAAGTGTACAAATTTAAGTGTTGGTGGTGTGTGTTAGCAAATTCCACACATGAACTATGTCCACTAACAAAATTTGATTCTGTCATCTTGGCAAAATGTAGGAAGCACTTGCCCAAATAGATAGGAAAGGGTTTTAATTTGATTCTGTCATCTTGGCACTATGTTTTCGTTGGAAGGAGCAGAATTCTCATGTTAAATGGCATGTCAACCTTACCAACAATAGTAGTCTAACCTGAGTACTTGGATGGATTCAGAGGTTGCAAGGGTGGTTAGGCAGCTAGAAGGTTCTAATGGTTTTAGCATTGGTGCTAGGCGTTTTCTTTATTTTAGCCACTCGGGTTAGCCTATAGGTTGACGTTGTATTCTTATCCTAAATGCGTGCTCACAAAAACACACTCTGGTTGTAACCATTAACATGCTGATGTGCATCTAGAGTACACATAAGATCATCTTTAAAATCATAAGTCAATTTTATGGAATAATACTATATTGACATGTATCCGAGAACTACAACTATTTTGACGTTGGGTACCACATAACTAAAACTATTCTCATAGTATCAATCAAGTATCAAAGGAGTTGTATTTTCATGGTACCAAATGGGAAAATAAATGTAGTTCTATGATACATATGTCAAAATAGTTGTAATTTTGTAGTTCTTATGCCAAAAATAGTTGTACTTCTCTGAAATCTTTTTAAAATATAGTTCAAACAAACTCGATAAACCTGCGGCTGCATTTTGTCCCTGTTCGGTGGGATTTGCTTAACTGTCAAAGGATGGCATTCAGCTTAGATTTTAGGGTATTCCAGTCAATACATATTAATAGTAACACTAGCTAAGATAGATTAAAAAAAGAGATTTAACCTAGGAGGAACTAAGTGGTTTTTCATTAAGAAGAGAAATAGGCACCCAAATTCAATCAAGACGGGACTTGAACCTGGGTGGTTGCGTGCATTGCCACACCTCTCACCCAATCAGTTGAGCTAGGCTCACCTCCTCTAGCTAAGATAGATTCAAAAGCTAAGGTAAATATTCCCGCCCATTCTGATAACTTAATAATCCAGCCCTGCAGCTAACTATCAAAACGATTGAACCTTCATTCTGATCCAGCACCAGAGCCCTGCTGAGCGGCTGAACCACGGTAGGCTGCAGACTCTTCTACGTAGCGTTGCTTGTCAACCTGGGACTGCTCCACATATGGCTGCCTTTCCTCAGCTGCAAAATTTAAATGGGTGGAAATGGTTATAACAGATGCTCACCAAATCTGTCTTGGTTTTTTCAGTAAACAAACATGATCACCTACAGGAAGGATCTATATGTGCAAGGAGACAATGGAGTCTTAAATAGTATGTCATAGAGCTAGACGGGTACCTGTCATCTTTTGCCACCTTTCTCCAAGCTTCTTTGCAATCTCTGTGGTAGCCAGTTCAGGATTGCTGCTCTTGATATTCTGCAATAGGGAAGTATCTGTTAATTTTTTGACACGTACGTCTATTATTTGTTCGATTTGCAAAATCCTAAGCTAAGTGCCTCATCAAGAGAATAAAAAACGTGTTCTTCATTGCAACCTAGCGTGTTTTGCATACAATAGAGTAGAAAAAAATAGCAGAGATATAACCAAATGGAAAGTGAAATTCTAGGTCCTTGTGTTCTAAAAGAAACATAAATAATGGGCTGGATAAATGAGAGGTTGAAAGTTTCTCCAACTATTTATATTCAGTTTTCTCAATATTGGGGCCTTCTGAAATTTAGGGTTATAAGTAACTTACAGCTCGCTCAGCCTTTGAGAAGTACATGAATGGGGCTATAGCTCTCTTAGGGGCATTGGGATCTTTCTTCTTCTTTGGCCTCTTTTTTTGAGAACCTTCATCAGGCCCACTCTTCATCTGCTTCTTCTTCACAGGTGGCTTTGAGCTACTAGCTTCCTTTGAGCTAGTAGCTTCCTTCTTGGAAGGTTTCTGGAAGAAGTTTGTTAGCACAGTGCATTCTATAGCTATTCTGATTCATTCTGAAACCATTGCTATTTTATATACTGTAAGAGAAAATTTAGTTACCTCCTTTTCTCCTCCACTCATGCTAGCATCAGAGCCATCCGCATCGGAATCATCCGTTGGAGATCCACTATCGTCCTTGTCTGCCACAAAATCTTCATCCTAATTTGAAGAGAGATTACACAAAATTGTACATGCAATTGACAGATGGTAACCTTATATTGAGTTATCGACTAAGGGAGGCAATACCTCTTCATCACTTTCCTCATTACTAGCCTGATTTTTTATCCGCTCCAGATGTGGATCAACAGAATCATCATCGGTGCTCTGAAGAACAGCAGTAACACCACTAGTTCTACCTTGGCCATCTCCAAGATTCAGAATTTTCAAATGCTTGCCACTTGAAAATTTATAAAGGAACAAGATGCTACTATCAGATTCATAAAAACACATTGGCTACAATTATATAAATCAACAAAAACATATAAAAACCTGATGAAGTTGAAGAGGTTATGGTATTCATTCCTTTGGATGTTTCTGAAGAGATGTTCTTGATCATTTGTGAGCTTGACCAAAAGGTCAAAGTAATGAGATGATATACTTGCACCTCCAGCACCATGACGCTCAAACTCAACATACTCGATCTACAGGAAGTAACAGCGAACCATGGGACAGAATAATTGAATGAAAAACTTTTATATTTCTTTAATAAAGCAGACCTCATCATGAGGAATTAGTGTTGGGGGCTTTGGCAGAAAGAAGAAGCCCTTTTCGAGTGGATAAAGCAAACCATCTTCAGCTTTAAGTGATGATTTGACTGCATATCCATCTTGGCAACTGCGGAATGTACTTGGCCTTGTCACTTTAGCACCAGATAAGCCACGAAGGAGCTTGGAGAATACCTCATGTATTAGACCCTACAAATAAATCAATAACCAAACAATTGAAGATGTAAGTAGAAGGGATGATCAACATATTAAGACCCTGTAATGCAGTGAAAGATGAAAACAACATAACAGTCAACATAACGGTTTATTCAATTACATAACTTTGCCAAATAGAAGCTAACGACCACCCTACTTGCAAGGAGAACTGTACATCTAGGAAGCTTAAACAACTTCATTAAATTAAAAATAATGCATGTAACTATACAAATAAAATCCTATGAGAAATATGCAAACATACAACATAGATCATCTTGTGGTTTATGATCCATTTTTAGATGAATGAATGACTTTTTGAAAATGAGTAAATATATCACCCTGTAAGAGCTCTCAAGCCTATCCTTGTACTTCTCGGCCAAAACCTCACCACTTAATGCCAGTTCCCTTTCAACCACTGCCTCTGTCTCAAACTGTTCACACGGTAAGGAAATTAATTCTTTTGGATGAACATTTTATCCAATTAGGTGAAAATTGAAGTGTGGTATGGCACCTGAATAACAATGTGAGGATATAAAGTTTGTCCTTTGCGAATTGGTGGATCAAGTGTGATAACCACAAAGGTATGTGGATTGTGTGACTGCATAGGTGAAAAAGCAAGGATGGAACCATATGTTATTATGTACAATAAAAGATCTCAGCATGTGTGTAAAATAAATACAACCTTTGGTAAAACAAATAGGCGAAGAATACTACTATATTGGATTTTGAAATCATTAGCTTGTCCTTGGAGTCGCAAGAATGACTGATGAAGCTCAACACTGTATCGGCCCCTGAATAGAAAAGGAGAAGCTAGCTATTTAGCAAATCAAAAAGACATTCAACAATATCATATTTTTTATAAATAATATTCTACAGAGTTGTAGGATTTTCCCACCTTGGTGTAAGAATTGCAATTCCATCAAATGTAACAACAGCCATCTCTGAGGAGCCACCACCATCAATATCAACCGAGATAGCCTGCCATAGCATCTAAAAAGGAGAAATTTCAGCATTTCCGTCATGCATGGATGTGTTTTCCTTTTTAAAAAAAAACTGTTTTCTTTTCATTTTCATACTGTTCTTAACAGTGATCTCACCTGAGCTGAGGTACGATGCTCATCTCCAATGAATTGAGTATTCGAAGTCGGAACATGAAAACTTAAATCCATCAATGAATCTTTCTGCAATCAACACGAAAGAAATGAGATGAACTCAGCAAACATGGATCATTAAAATTGTAGCTATTATTAACGGTTTGCAACTTAGCACAGCCAAATCCTTGAAAATTTTATGTAACACTAACCATGTGAACCGTTAAATGAGATTGATAGAATATATATGGCAGAAAAATCATTTGTTACATAGTGGAGAAACAGATATAGTGTTATGGTGGGGAAGACTTATGCAAGGCGCAACAACAGAAGGGCCTGAACCGGACCAGGGATAGGTGGAACGTGGTCACCATCGGCTGTCGTATTCAGGCTCATCTAGAGTCCTAGCAGATTTGGGTTAGAGTCTTAGAAGATTTGGTCCAGATTCATAGCAGGAGTCTGTTAGCGTCAAGAGTCGAGTTGGTTAACGTCCAGAGTCAAGTATCAGGGTCGAGTTGTAAGGACTATAAGAGTCCAGCTTCATTAAGGAAACAATTAGCCTGGGATTGTGACTACAAGTCACCCTTGGGCGCCCGGCATCTCCCTGTTCATCGTCATCTCTTGCCACCGCAATCACGACTCCTGCCCGCCGAACCCTTGCACGCTCTCACGCTCCCCGATCTCCTCCGTACTTCCTTCGAAGTAAAGCCCGTCGTCATACCAGCCTGGTATCAGAGACCATGGCGACATCCGGGGACTCATCTGCGACGGTCCCTCCTTCATCCGCTGCTCCCACGACCGGCGTGCCTGCCTCCGCCATGCCACAATCTGCCGTGTTGCTGCCGATGGTTGGCACATCGGGCACCCTTGTGCCCACTGTGCCGTCCGCGTCCCAACCCATGTCGACCGCGGAGGCGCTCCAGGCGCTGACGCAGGCCATCGCGGGCCTCCAACTCCAGATGACAGCTGTCAACCACCACCTGGCGGACCAGGGTGCCCGGCTTTCGGCGCTCGACGGCCGGCCAGCGTTCCCGCAATTCGGCTTGCTGGGGTTCGGTGGGGTCCCGGCCCTACCCGCGGCCTCCGCTCCGGTGATCTCTGAGGTCGCTGCGGCGTTCGCGGAATCCGCCGTGGCGCCGCCGCCGTCTGTGCCATTATCATCTCCAGCGGTGCATGGATCGCGGCCGCCTGCTCCACCGCCGTCGACGGGTGTGCCGATCACCCAGATTAATTTCCCGCACTCACCGTCACCGCTGCCTATGTTCTCATCTACAGGACTGCCCTACGTCTCAGCGCCGACGTCGCACATGTCCTCGACGCCGTCACATATCCCATCACCGCTGGAGGTAGAGGGCATGGCTGTGCCAAAGTACCACAAACTCACGTTCGCCACCTATGACGACAAAGAGGACCCGCTCGGCTGGCTCAACAAGTGTGAGCAGTTTTTCCGCGGCCAGATGACACGGGAGGTGGACAAGGTCTAGCTCAACAGTGGTACCTCGTCTTGGAAGGCGACATAGGCCGCCCCGCTTGGCCGGACTTCCGTCGCATGTGTCAGCAGCGCTTCAGCCCGGCCCTCAGCACCAACCACCTCGCCGACTTGGCGCGGCTGCCGTTCGGAGGATCGGTGGACGCGTACATGGCGGAGTTTCAAGCCCGTGCCGCACACGCCGGTGACCTCTCTACGCTGCAGAAGGCGCGGCTGTTCACCGGCGGTCTGCCAGAACACATCCGCGTCGACGTCGAGCTCCTCGAGCCACAGGACCTGCAGCATGCCATGCGGCTTGCGCACGCTTATGAGCGCCGCAACGCCTCGCAGGCTTCTGCCTTGCCGGCACCACGCTTGGCGCGCCGCCCTATTGGCGCACCAGCCGCGCTGCCTACACCAGCCGTCTCCAGCGCCACTTCTTCGGCATCAGCGCCACGCACGTTCAAGCGCCTCACACCGGAGGAGATGGCGGAACGGCGCAAGATGGGCTTATGCTACAATTGCGATGAACAATACATAAGGGGGCACAAGTGTGCCAGGCTCTTCTTCCTCGAGGCCTCAGATTACATCGTGGAGGAGCCGGATGACACGGAGGACGCCCCGGTTGCACCGCCATTCGACCCCGACGCGCCTATGATCTCTCTGTCCGCCATCACGGGCATCCGGGCCGAAAAGACCATGCAGCTCCACGTCCACATTGGCGCGCACCAGTTCACCGCGCTCCTAGACTCTAGTTCAACTCACAACTTCATCAGCACAGAGGCGGCTCGGCGCGCGGACCTGTAGCTTCAGGACAGCCATGGTGAACACGTGGTTGTGGCGAACGGGGACCAAGTCGCGTGCCGTGGTCTCGCCCGCGACGCCAAGCTCGAGATCGGTGAAGAAGTCTTCCCAGTGGACTGCTTCTCCATCCCACTACAGTGCTACGACATGGTCCTGGGGATCGCTTGGCTGTGGACCCTGGGGCCGATCCTGTGGGACTTTGAGGGTCTTCGCATGGCGTTCGTCCTCCGCAGCCGCCGCGTCCTGTGGACGGGCATTGGCTCGCCAAGCGCGGGCCGCGCCGAGCAGCTACTCTCCGGCCACATCTTCAACGACAAGGGGGCGGAGCCAGTCCTCCTTGACCGTCTCCTTGACACCTACACCGACGTGTTCGCGGAGCCCACAGGGCTCCCACCCATGCGCCCCTGTGATCATTAGATACACTTGAAGCCCGGCACCGAACCCGTCGCCATCCGGCCCTACAGGTATCCCCACCTCCAGAAGGATGAGCTGGAGAGGCAGTGCGAGGCAATGCTCTAGCAGGGGGTCATATAGGACAGCACTTCCCCCTTCTCTGCGCCGGTACTGCTTGTCAAGAAGCAGGACAGGACTTGGCGCTTTTGTGTCGACTATAGGTCACTCAACGCCGTGACGGTGAAAGACAAGTTCTCGATCCCGGTCGTCGAAGAGCTTCTGGACGAGCTCCATGGCGCCAAATTCTTCACCAAGTTGGACCTCCGTTTAGGTTATCACCAGGTCCGCGTCGACCCCGCTGATGTGGAAAAGACGGCATTCCGGACACACCACGACCACTTCGAGTTCTTGGTCATGCCTTTCGGCTTGTCCAACGCGCCTTCGACGTTCCAGGCGCTCATGAACCTCGTCCTCAAGCCGTTCCTACGACGCAGCGTCCTCATCTTCTTCGACGACATCCTCGTCTATAGTTCCACATGGACCGAGCACCTGCAGCATCTCCACGCCGTCCTGGACGTCCTCCGCGAGCACCGGCTGCATCTCAAGCGATCCAAATGCTCTTTCGCTACCTCGTCGGTCCACTACCTTGGCCATGTCATCACGGCTGAGGGGGTGGCCATGGACACGACCAAGGTGGCGGCTGTACAGTCATGGCCGTAGCCGCGTTCGGTGTGAGGCCTTCGCGGTTTTCTCAGGCTAGCCGGCTACTACCGCTGGTTCATCAAAGACTACGGCACCATCACCGCCCCATTGACGCAGCTCTTGCGGAAAGAGGGGTTTCGGTGGTCAGAGACCGTCGACGCGGCATTTACGGCCCTCAAGGCCGCTCTGTGTGCGGCGCCAGTGCTCCATCTCCCGGACTTCAACGCCACGTTCATCGTCGACTACAACGCGTCCGGCTTCGGCTTCGGAGCTGTCCTTCATCAAGACGGGAATCCCATCGTGTTCTTTAGTCGACCCTTTGCGGCTCGGCACCTCAAAGCGGCTGCGTACGAGCGCGAGCTCATCGGTCTCGTCCAAGCGGTCCGCCATTGGCGCCCTTATCTTTGGGGGCGCGCTTTCGTCGTCCGGACTGATCACTACTTCCTCAAGTTCATGCTCGACCAGCGCCTTTCGACAATTCCACAACATCACTGGGTGAGCAAATTGTTCGGGTCAAGGTGAACGTGGTGGCCGATGCGCTGTCCCGCCACGACGGCGACACCCCGCTCTTGGTGGGTCTCTGCGACACTGATGCGGCGTCCCTCGCAGCGCTCTCGACTCCGACGTTCCGGCTCTTCGATGACCTCCGCCAGGAGCTGGACACCGACGCCACGTTGCGCGCACGCCACGATGCCGTGGCCGCCGGTGCGCACGGGGCCTCCTGGACCGTCCAGGAGGGGCTCATACTCCATGATGGACGCGTCTTCGTGCCTGCATCCCCGCTCCTGGACGATGTCTTCCAGCTCGCCCACACAGAAGCCCATGAGGGCATCCAAAAGACTCTACGGCGGCTCCGTACCGAGTTCTACGTCAAGCATGATCGACGCGTCGTCAGCGACTTCGTGCGTTCCTGCTCCACGTGCCAGCGGAACAAAACAGAGACGTTGAACCCCGCGGGACTGCTGCAACCCTTACCGGTGCCCTCACGAGTCTGGGCAGATATCTCCCTTGACTTCATTGAGGCGCTTCCCAAGGTCCACGGTAAAAGTGTTCTCCTAACCGTGGTTGACAGGTTTTCGAAGTATGCGCACTTCATTCCCTTGGGCCACCCCTACACGGCGTCGTCAGTGGCGCGAGCTTTCTTCCAGGACATCGTGCGCCTCCATGGATTTCCTGAGTCCATCGTCAGCGATCGTGACCCAGTGTTCACGGGGCATGTGTGGCGCAATCTTTTTTGCCACGCCGGCGTCCAGCTTCGGATGAGCACGGCGTTCCACCCACAGACGGACGGGTAGTCCGAAGCGGTGAACAAGGCCATAACCATGTACTTGAGATGTCTCACTGGTGACCGCCCTCGGGACTGGCTAGACTGGCTGTCGTGGGCGGAATTCTGTTACAACACCGCATATCACACGGCGCTTCAGACTACTCCGTTTCAGGTGGTCTACGGCCGTCCTCCGCCCGACCTGCTGTCGTATGTTCCAGGGGAGGCGCGCACGGAGGCCGTCGACACCATGTTGTCCAACCGGGATGAGTTCTTGGACGAGGTACACGCTCGCCTCCTCTAGGCGCAGGAGTACGCTCGACGCTTCTACGACGCCAAGCACCGTGCCCTCGAGTTTGCCGTCGGGGACTGGGTACTGCTCCGCATGCTTCATCGACACACGTAGTCCCTAGCCCCTGGCGGTCGCGGCAAGTCGGGGCCCAAGTATGCTGGCCCTTTCCAGGTGATTGCGCGGGTGGGCGAGGTGGCCTACCGGCTTCGTCTTCCGGAGGGCGCCCGGATTCACGACGTCTTCCATGTCGGGGTGTTAAAGCCGTTCCGTGGTACACCGCCGACGTCCGAGCCTGTGCTTCCTCCACTTCACCATGGCCGGCCTCTCCAGCGACCGGAACGCATACTGCGCTCTGAACTTCGTCGTGGCGTCTGGCACGTCCTCGTCGAGTGGTCTGGCATGCCTGCATCCGAGGCAACGTGGGAGCCGGTTCCTGCATTCCGGGAAGCCCACCCTTCCTTCCAGCTCGCGGACGAGCTGTTTTCCGAGGGAGGGAGAGATGTTATGGTGGGGAAGACTTATGCAAGGCGCAACAACAGAAGGGCCTGAACCGGACCAGGGATAGGTGGAACGTGGTCACCATCGGCTGTCGTATTCAGGCTCATCTAGAGTCCTAGCAGATTTGGGTTAGAGTCTTAGAAGATTTGGTCCAGATTCATAGCAGGAGTCTGTTAGCGTCAAGAGTCGAGTTAGTTAACGTCCAGAGTCAAGTATCAGGGTCGAGTTGTAAGGACTATAAGAGTCCAACTTCATTAAGGAAACAATTAGCCTAGGATTGTGACTACAAGTCACCCTTGGGCACCCGGCGTCTCCCTGTTCATCGTCATCTCTTGCCACCGCAATCACGGCTCCTGTCCGCCGAACCCTTGCACGCTCTCACGCTCCCCGATCTCCTCCGTACTTCCTTCGAAGTAAAGCCCGTCGTCATACCATATAGACACTACACACTATGCAATATAAAATAGTATGATGGTTTTGTTACCATTCCATGATATCTGTATGCAAAAATAGTCCATTTATTATTTTACATCAAAAAAACAGCAAGGTAGCCAAAAGCACATAGCACCAACAAGATTTAATAAAACTAAGGTAAACATGGACCAAAGGAAACACATTCGGGCAATTCACAGACCTCATTAGCCCCAGTAGTATCATCTACATGGAACTCTAGGACAACATCTGTTTTCCCTTGCATCTGAGTCTGTGCCACATCTGCTAGAGAGACTTCAAACGCTTCCTTTGAACCAACATTAAAGCAAAGCATATTCCCTAAAATGGAAAGGATAGGAAAAAATAATCAAACCAAAACAGAGGAAACCATGAGGCAACGGATACACAAATTTCGGCTAACCATTTATTTCTATTCCGCCCCAATTATGCCCAGTAACAGAAAGCTGCTTCTCTTCTGGTGTGATTCCAGTGCTCTTCTCTATGAAATTAGTTAGGTTACTAACATCCTGGAAAGTAAAGGAACAAAACTGGAGTTACGACATGCAAAGATTTTAATTCTCGGGGAGAAACATAGACACTGGCACATCTATCAGGTCTATTAGAAAACTATAAACAATTGTTGTCTTATTTTTCAACATCTCTTGAAACTAAAAATAGAAATCATGTACAGCTAGTTTTTTCCTTCAGATAAAAAAGGAGAGAATATAACCTGTTCACGAAAGCCAAAAAATCTGTAACAGAGGCCCTCCTTCGTCCCAACACTAAGCTGATAAGATTTAGGAATCCTCATCCAAGCCACAGAAGTGATATCACCTTTATCAACATCAATGATCTTTCCTCCTCCTTGCTTCTTCCACGCCAAGCCTCCTGTGTAAAGTTTGAACTGCCCAGGGTTCTACAACAAAAGCCATCACATCACCACAAGAATTTCATCACTTGCAAACAATCATAAATAAAATAAATCGAGAGTTTATCAGATTTGAACTACATTCCCTACTTTTTGTAGTGAAAAAAATGAAGCTGACTGCAAGATGCACAATTCTAACCGCAAAGATTGAAAATCAAGTTTCTATGCCTAAGTAAGACATATACTGATAAAGCTACTATGACAGGAATAATAATCTTTAAACAAGAGCATACGTTCAGGCCAAAAGGATTATGAAAATTTGAAAACTATATATCTTAATGAAAGGTGCAACGGCAGCTCAATTATCACAAGTCGGTGCTCCTTTTGGCGAACATGGGACTGAGGGAATGCAATTATACACGACAAAAAAATTATTATACTATCTCATAATAGATAGAAGAAAACTAGAATTTTCAGATTTGTTCCATTAATTTAAGGAGGCTGTTTGTTCCCTCAAGTCTGTTCTTACAAAATTTATCAAGGACCTTGTTCCCACAGAATCTCTCAAAATTCTAAACATACCACTCAAATAAACCCTAACTTGTGATCTCGAATAAACCCTAACTTGTGATCTCTAGGTAAATCAACCACTGCAGGCTGAGAGCCCTGACCAACAAAATTCAAATAAAAAAAACCAACAAAATTCTTGAACCCGACCCTCGGATCAGAGACATAGAGACGATCGCCATTAAATCAAAGCCAAACCCTAACGAGAGGATTGCTAAATCTCCACTTAGGGCGAAATGAATGGGATCGACAACTCACGCCGCCGCCACGGCCGCCGAGGGAGATGTTGTTAAAGTGGTGGCCGTCCGCCATCTCGGCGCACAGCGATCGCCGTCGAAAGTACACGTCCCGATTCGTCTAGCCTGATCGCCGTCGAAAGTACACGTCCCGATTCGTCTCGCCCGCGCGTGGCCTCGGACCGGGTGTGTGCGCGTCACCTAGCGTGTGGCTCCATTTGGCGTGGTTGCAATGCATGCGGCGGCTGCATACTTTCTTCTCCGATTTTCTCTTCCGTTTTTTTCCTTTGACCATCTGCATGCGGTGCATGCTTTGAGACGAGGCACCATACCGGGGGAAACTGCCGTTTTCCCTACCACGCGCGCTGCGGCTATGTCGACGACGGTGTCCCAGCCGTAAGTACCCGGCCGCCTCTCAGGACGTGGAGCTCCGGCTTTCACGTTCCGTGGCCTTCGCCTCTTAAGGATTTCGTGTGCGAGGACAGCCGGCGTCTACTGCGACGCCCTCCTAACTTCCTTCCCTTGCTCTGCCGTCTTAGGTAAAAAAAAAGATTGAACTTAAAAATAACCTGCTTGTAGTGCTTGCGATTTAATTTCGTACATTGATCATCCAATGTCAGCGATCTCGATTATTTGTATGATAAAGTTGGCAGATTTTAGGTAGTTTGGGATCTGTGTGTGTGCACTACAAGTATACAAGGTGTGTTGTCTAATGTTATTTTACTGGTGGCCATGCCATTGCTCAGTACTTGGTTTGGTTTAGGACATACAAGCTAGTATGTGATTAATGCAAACGATGAGTACAAACTCTGCATTGGAGGCTATTTAGGAACATTACAAATTTACAACGCAGAATGCGTTTTGACAAAATGTGCAATTTTGCGTTGCATCACATTATCAAGGGCATAAAGCAAGCTATTTATGTCATGATTCTCGTTCTATTCCCAAAAGGGCAGGACAAAGGCAGTTCATTTTGCTGGTTCAGGGAGCCTCCTTGCCTTGCTGTTTGGACTCTGCCCTGCTACTGCTTAGCAATGTGCCAATATTTGCTTTTCCTGCCTGCTCATGGTTTTCCACCTTGATGCCGTAGAACCAAAGGATTAATTAGGTTTGTTTGGGCGTGAACTATTTGGTCCAATACTCCAATCGATGCACTTCAAGGCAATTCCGTAGCTTTCTTGTAGGATCTGGAAGAGTGAAAAAATTGACCACCATGGGCCTGATACCCTTTTAAGTTGTGTATATTCTGGTGTTAAATGCACCAATTAAAACATCACATCTAAGTACAGGCAATCTCCTACTACCCTACTTTTTCCCAGCTGTATATATAGAGTCTAGGTTAAGATGTTTCCTACTCACACACAGACTTTTTTATTTTTGGAAAGCAAGCATATCAGCTGCGCTCTGTCGCAGTTCTTAGAACCCTATAACTGAAGTGTGTGTTGCCAGCAATACATCTGCTAGAGAAACTTCAAATACTACCTTCCCACAAACATGAAAGGAAAGCCTAGTTCCTGAAATGGAAAGAATAGGGAAAGGAATAGAACCAGAAAGCGGTTATGAAAGGACAATGGAATAAGGAGAACACTTAAATAGAATTGAAAACTTAGCTAACCATTTGATTTCAACTCCACCCCAATTATGCCCACAAATGGAAAGGTGCTTCTCCTGTGAGATTCCCATTCTCCTTTGTATGAGGTTAGTCAGGTTGCTAACATCCTAAAAGTAAATTAAATACTTGAGAGCTCTCGAGTTACAATATTGTCAATGTTCCAATTGTCAGATAGGGGTCTATGAAATGAAGTCTAGATGTGGTTGCATTCTTCTCTTATTTTTTTTTTATCGTTGCTCCGTTAAACAAAGATAATAGGAATACCTAATTTTCTTCAGGGAAAAAAAAAGCAATGGATTGAATATCTCCTGTTTATGGAAGCCAAAGAACCTGTAAAAGGAGCCCTCCTTCGTCTCAACCTCAAGCAGATAAGATTTGGGGATACTCATCCATGCAATGGAACAGATATCAGCTTTATCAACCTCAATAACCTTTCATCCACCTGGTTTCTTCCATGCAAGCGCTCCTGAATCAAGTTTGAATTGTCCAAGGTTCTACAAGAGCACAGACCATCATATCACAGCACAAAAGCATTTCAGCAGTGCAATGGTAAATGGTTTCCTATAGTGAAAATAATCATGGATAAGATATTTTACCAGATTTCATACATATGTACTCCCTTTGGTACAATGAAATATGGAATTGGTTGTTTCCAAGTTCAACCATGATTAGAGAAAAGTGTACAATTTTAATCCACGGAAAAATGGTGTCAAAGTAAGTGTGATAAACACCGAAAAGTCTACATGACAAGAGGACTAATCTTTAGGCTGTGTTTGTTTGAGCTTTTGGCCACTTTTAGACTACTAGCTTTTGGACTTTCCAAAAACCAAATAGCTTCCATAAGCTAAATGCCCAAAAGCACGTTATAGTGAGCTTCTGGCTCTTGGCTTCCAGGAGCTTTTTGGTTGTTGAAAGGTCCAAAAGCTTCTAGGAAGCCCAAAGAAACATGCCCTTAAGCAAGTGACAAAATTGGAAAAAGTATTTTCAATGTCCTAAGATTTGTCAATGATGGTGGCCATGGGTTTTGATCTTACAAGATGGTGCAGTTGCGTTCGCGAAAAAACAAGATGGTGCAGTTGTAGCCCAATCATCACAAGCTGAAGGTTTGTTTGGAATGCAGGAAAGCATAAGTACAGGAGCAGGAGAAAACAACAATTGAAGTGCAATTCACATTATTCCATATGAATACTGAATGCAAGATTCTAACCTAATTACCCACAAGGAAAGAATTTGGGACCTTGGAAACAGACTATAAATAAAACGGAAACCGACTACTATCATATATAATGGTTTCTGGAGTAATTAATGCCGTAGGGAAAATCTGACTCCATTACATTGTTCCAAAAGGCCTATCGCCTACGTTGGAACTTGCTAGGAGTCTGTCCAGAATTCCAATAAAATTCCCATACTGTTAAGCATAACTTGTCTGTGCACAAATTCCAATAAATTGGAGGCGCTTAGCATCACCAGAAGTTCAGAAGCTGTTTGGTATGTGATTGTACCAATGATTGCATTGATCAATGACTAGAAACTGTTCCACAATACGTTGTTCTATTTGATGCTCTTACAGGTCCCAACACATTTGAGCTAACAAAAAAAGAAAAAAAAATCAATCATCTTGCCTATATAAAATAAAATAGGTCCATCAAACAGCCTCAGCTCATAAAATTTCCCCTTTGCTACTCATGGTTCTCGAAGGAACCTAGCACATGTGTCAGGATCCTGCGAGGAACCGAGTATAACAGGGGGATCAGTAGGAATTTCAGAAGAAAATGAGTAGAAAGGAGAGGTAAGGGTTCAGGTGAAGAGGAAGAGAAGGAAGTAATTTTTATTTATTTATTAATCCATTCTCACTTTCATGATGGGCGTACTGGGTACTTATACTGTTTTAGGCCCTGGCCAAAGAACACTGGGTGCAGAATAACACCCACATCCACCGGGTGTAGGGCCTACAGAAACAGCACCCACATCTACCGGTTGTAAAACCTATTAATCTGATTTTTATAAAAGCATTAATCTAATGGGACTGTAATTTGAATAACAGTGCATTTATGACATCATGCTTTCAATAAAATGTTCAAGATAACCTTTATATATCAGCATGAGACTAATCTATGACCGTGTTTACTTGTAACCAATGGTTATGGAAAATAAGCGTATTTGAACATTCTCACCACTGCTCAGGAAGATGCCTTGGAGCTGTAAGAATGTTACTTAAAATGGATGAAGTGTGCGTACAACATGAATATTATGCTGATAGTACAAAAAGAAGGGACGAAACATAAGCTTTACAATTTCTACATTTGTACAGCAACAACTCAATCCATCTGGTTGGCTACTACAGCTTTTTAACTTCAAGCAGAATTTGCTCTTCGCTATATTATACTTTACTGAGAAATGTCTGCAGAGACTGAGAGGGAGAGGAATGAGGAAAATTGGTGATAGCCTGATAGGAGAAACCTCTTTTCACTATGCTTTACTGTGTTGTATTTCATTAATAAGACCGGTGTGTTTCAGTGCACATCACTATGCAACTATTTATCCTACCAGGAGTATTTGGGCCTCATCAATTGAAATCTTAATGTATCATTTCTTCGTTTGAAACTCAGATTCAAATTCCTTTTGTAGCTGATCATGTGACTCCATTCTAGCCGCTAGTATAACATCACTGATAAAACTCTTATCTGGGAATTCATCCGGCACAAGGCTTCTGTATATATCAAACTGCTTATCTGCGTCTTCTTTTCTGTCTAAAAGTGCATACACAATGCCCTGCAGAACCAACACCATAGACAGACAAAATGCACATTCAAAGTCAAAACGAAGGTACTTCAGGACAAATCAAACTCAACAAAATATCAGAGAGTACCTGGCAAAGATGAGACCGAAAATCTCGAGGATCCTCATTTATAAGATTTTGTAGTTTCTCAGATGCAACATCCAACTGACCCTGTGCCATCAAAATTTGCATTTAGACACCAAAAACTATCATGGTCTCAGATTTCCATCCTATTTGAATAAATGTTACCATGACAACATGCATTTGTGCGATCAAAAGCTTTATGTTGCGCTCTTCCGGGACCCTTTTCTCTGAAGTTGCAAGCTGCAAAGCATTCTCAAGCATTTCAAAAACAGTAGGGCCTTCAAGTTTCTTCTGCATACATAGTGCAAGTCCCTGCAAGATAGCAAGAGTGTGAGGTGTTACCAGACATGAGGAATTACTAATTACTTAGAGAATGCCACAAGGATGGGATTCTAATAAAGAGCAAGTTTTAAAAGTCTAAGACAAGATTGGTGTTGAGAATTTGCTGCTCATGGCTGAACACAAAATGTTGAGCAGACACGTCAAGTAGTAAAGAGCTTGCTCTGCTTCATTCCTCATGAAATCAAGAAGTATATTATGGTTGCAATCAATCAAGTAAAAATTGCAACACTTAGCATAATCAGTTTTTGTAAAAACTTAATCTGTTAAATTGACGAAGCCTAACCTAATCAGTATACAACACTATATATCTACAATGTAATGCTGACAACAGCCCCCTTGCATAGTTAGTACTTCCTACCATCTTAATGAATATTCCATTATGTGACTATTAAGAGTTAGGCTGTGGCATGAACCTCCCCCTGGATTCTTTTATATTAGAAATTGTTAGCAAGTGGGGCCAGCTGCCTAATGTATGGAAAAATGCATATTCTTTTCCTTTTGGAGAACGTCAAGCATCAAGCCATCAAGACAACTTTCTGTGAACTTTTAGGGACAACTCTAGCATAGCTTAGAAACAACTTGCAGCAAAATGCAGAATTTCATATGCACTGCTTCTCATCCTCTCACCAGTAATGCTGTATTTCAATTGCTACTGGTACCATCTTTAATTCCCAGTGTCTGAAAGACTGAAACATATATGATCCAATAACTGACCATTGATCACCACATCAACTGCGACGCCAGCAGTAACCACATCAACTGCGACGCCAGCAGTAACGACACCAACACGAAGAATTGCAGGCAAATTGAAGCTACTGAATAGATTAGAAAGAGGATGTACGCTATACCCACATGGAGAGCCCGGACGAGGAGGGGCTCCTCTGCCAGGAGCTCCCTGAACTGACGCTCAGCCTCGGCGAGGTCCCCCTTGAGCTCGTGCAGCTGCGCCACCATCAGCCGCCACTCCACCTCGCTGGGCTCGGCGTCACGCAGCCGTCGCGCGTACCGCAGCGCCCCACCCCAATCCGCGAGCCTCATCTTAGCGTACAGAGCGCACTTGAGCGCGTCCACGTCGCCAGGATTGCGGCTCAGAATTGCCGAATACATTCGCACCTCCTCATCTTGCTCTTCGATTTCTTGGAGTTGCTGGGTCGGCGTGGGAGCGCAGGCGAGGGCGGGGGGTGAGCGGACGCCGGAGAGGGAGAGGAGGCCTGCGACGAACACGAAAAGGAGGGTCCTCGAGGTGGAGACGACGGAAGAGAGAACGCTCTCGGTCGGGGTCTTCAAGGAGGAGGTGGAGAGGGAGGGGATTCGGGAGGAGTGCGGAGGGTTGAGATGAACTTGGAAGCGGTGGGGCTTGAGGGGGAAGGACAGGGAGGGGCCGGTGGCGCGCTGGCGGTGGATGGGGAGGAGGGATGCGGAGGCTGAAGGGGTGGTGGTAGGCAAGAAGAAGCTCATCGCCATGGCCGAGGATTTGCCGAGTGAGAGATGGGAAGAAGAGTGGATTGAAAAGGGAAAAAAAAGAGGGGGGGGGGGGGGGGGGGGGGGGGGGGGGGGCCTACTTTAAATGCATGGATTCAGAGAATATGAATATTTGTACGGAACAGTTTTACAGCCTGTTCGCTTAATCGTATATGATTGTGGATTATAAAGTTTGTATGATGATTTTTTTCATCACACCAAATCAAATAAAGATAAATAATCCGCGATTGTTTACTGCACTTAAACAAAACAGGCTGGGGGTTTGTAGAGAATTGAAAAGTAACATTCATTTACAAATGTAAATGAAATGTTAGTCTAACGCATCACTGTAGCAGCAGCTCCTGCTCCAGCAGTTTAGCTATAGCAGATGAAGCCGAGTTGAAAGTTGAAACCTGTGCTTATGTTAAGAAGGAATTTCAGAGGAGTTCCTGTTCCTGGATAAATTTCAATTTCAATGAATTTCGGAGGAGTTCCGGGATACACTTCAATTTCAATTGTTCAGCAAAGGTTCACTTGGGATCCTGACCATTGCCCAGCACACATCCTTCTAAACAAATTCGTTATGTGAGTGGGTGACGAAGGCCAGGACTTAAAAAGGTCGATAGTCACCTCAACTGATACATTCAATTTGACTGGTAGTATCCCTCCCAATCATCAGTTTGACTGGTAGTTTCCCTCCCAATCTGAAGTAAGGGCCCGTTTAGATCAAAAAAAAATTTGGATTTTGGCTACTGTAGTACTTTCGTTTGTATTTGACAATTAGTGTCTAATTATGGACTAATTAGGTTCAAAAATTTCGTCTCGCGATTTCTCACCCAACTGTGTAATTAGTTTTTTTTTCGTCTATATTTAGTACTCTATGCATGTGCCGTAAGATTCGATGTGACGGGTACTATGCAAAAATTTTTGGAATCTAAACGGGGCCTAACCAGGCCAGTGATCCAGAAAAATATTTTCAACGTAGGCAAGCCAAGTTCAATGGAATAAGATAACCACAAAGGAATCTCTCAGATGTAACTTCAAGGACACATCTCACTACGAGATAAGCTGTTCAGCCTATAAACTGAAAATGTAACATGTCACATGCAACCACATCTTTCCCTTCAGGGTTGCTGTTTGGTGACAAACAATAGCACATCTTGCTGTTATGCTACTGAAACTTGGAAAACTGCAGTTTTCCTGAACAGAAGAAAAGGGTAAACTAGCCGTCTTTCTGCATTTTCCTTTTACAAAGTTATTAAGAAAGACTAGATCACTGTACCATTTGTAACTGAGATCTTTGCATCATTTGTAACTTTGATCTCTTGCACGTGGTGCAAGTACAGCCTCCTCAGGTCTAATTGCTTGAATCCTTTTTGTACATCTCGGGCTTGAGAACTCCAACATAAGGCAGGTTACGGTAGAGCTCCGCATAATCCAAACCATAGCCAACAACAAAGTAGTCTGGGCACTGAAAAAAAAATGGAATTTAGAACCTGGATGACACCGCGTGCCTCCAAGCTTAGGACCATCCATGCATTTTACTCATAATATAAAGGGCGGCTCAGGATTGCTTTTCAGTTTTCAGTACTATAATTGTTTTTATTTTGAAGAAATTTAGTACTATGATTGTTACCAATGAAAGATGCAAACTACGTACTTATGTAACTTGCTACTTAACAATAAACATTTTTGTGGAAATATTTTCAAGAAGTGCATGCAATACAGAGACAGGTGGTATTCGTACCTCAAAGCCTCGGTAGAATTTTCCATCCCCCACTAGCTGAAGACTGACTTTCCTTCTTGCTGGTTTGTCAAGGAAAGTGCAAACCGATATGGATGATGCACCTTTCTTCTCCAAATGAGCAATGAGACAGGACAGAGTATTCCCTGTGTCCACAATATCTTCAACCTACCGAGATATGAAATCGTTGTCAAATTCCATATACCAGCTCAAACAGACTCACCAAGATCTAGGAAGTCATCTCAGACAATTATAGGAAGTTAGGACTACAAAACAATAATAAGAAAGACTTATTAGCATAATCAAATTTATTTATTTATTTTCAAAAATGCATTTCCCATAGTATCAATCTGACACAATGCAGACCAAATTTCTCAACAGAATACTATTCCTAGACATATAAAACATGAATCAAGCAACACATTAATAATTCCCATGGTGCCTATATTTTAGAGCCATACCACGACATTGCATACAAGTGGAAAATGTGAATGCTGTATTTACGTTTAAAGTTGGCATATGCTCTACACAAAACTACTTCATTCAGAGTAGCTGTAAATGTCCCACTTCAAACAGGCACTCTATAATCTGTACAAACTGTATATGCCCTATGATATAGGTGGCCTTACCAGCTGATATTTATTCAATAGTTACAAACAGTGCTCAAATAATCTTATACGATTTAGTGTATATCCTCGCCTTTTCTCCTAGCCCTCCCCGAAAATATTGAACACTAGATCAATTTGAGATTATTAGCACCTTGTTAGGTCAATGATTTCTGTTCCTAGTCCAGACAAAAAAATAATTATGCAGTCATGTTTGGACAGCCATTCTAAATTTCTAGTACTCTCTGGGAACATGAAACATAGAAACAAGACTATCAACTGAATTACTGATTGAAGGTAAACAATCTAGACTCTAGAGGAGGTCACGTGAATTATCTTCCATCGAGTCTGTCCACAAGCAAATGGCGGGTACCAACCAAATGATCAAAGCCAACTAAAATTCTTGCTACAGGACACCACCACAGGATAATTGCAAAAGATACGCGAACCACACAAAAGCGATTCACGAGTAGGGGTCGAGCCGCTGACCACGACGACGTGCTTGCCGGCCACGTCGACCTTGAGGTCGGCCGTGATACGTGGCTTGCCGCTGGACACTGTACCGGCCCCGTAGGACTCGACGCGCACGAAGTCGACCGCGAGTTGCACGTCGACGCGGCGGACGAGGTCGGCGAGGAAGAGGAACGCGCCGGTGGCGACGCCGACGACGACGGCGGGCTCCGGCAGCGCGCGCAGGTCGGCCGCGAGCTCGGCGGCGACATCGCCGACGCGGGCGGACACCTCGGCCTCCGTCCACAGCACGTAGTCGATGCCGGCCTCGGCGCTCACCATGGCGGCAGCGGCGGCAGAGGAGGAGGGGAGGGAGGCTAGGGTTGCGTGCCGGCGGACGCGGAGCGCAGGGGATTTATTGGGCCGCCGTTGGTGCGCGGGTTGCGTGGTGGAGGTGGCGCGGTCGCGCCGCGGATGGGATGCCGCGGGGTTGGTTAGGAACCGTGCCAGGATTCCGGAATCCTGCGTCGTCACCACGATCATGTTGGTGTCGGCCATGGGTTGTTATGGTACACTCCTGTTGCTGTTCAGTTGACCTCTGTGACTTGCTGCGTGGAATGGAATCTCTCTTTTCTCTAATTTTATCCTGATCATATTTTATAAAATTTAACCAAATATATAAAAAAATATTGATATATTTATAACATAAATAGGTATATTATAAAATATATTGTATGTATTACAAATCTAATGTGCCATAAATAGTGATACATTATCGGCAGCATCTGGCGTCTGGACGTCCGAACACCCGGCGCTGCTCTAATGTGCCATAAATAGTGACACATTATCGGCAGCCTCTGGTGTCTGGACGTCCGGACACCCGTCGCTGCTCCGCTCCGTCCGTTCGGATTCCCGCGGCTGATTCGTTTTCCGCGCTCGCATCCGAACCTCTCGCTTCAAATCCGCTGTCGATGCTGCTTGAATGACTCGCCCCCGTCTCTTCCACACCGGCGCAGCGCCCGTCTCTTCCAGACCGTCTGGAAGACTCACCCCCCTTTCCACAACAGAATCGTGGGCCCTGTGCCTCCTCCCCACACCGCGCGGCGGCGGCCTACGCCTCCTCCACGCGTCGGTGCCTGCACCTTGGCCCTGCCCCGCCCTCATGGACATCAGCGCCGGCAGTCTACACTTGCAACATGAAACACTCGAATGCAACATATATTTAAAACAGATAAAATATTTGAAACATACGCTTGCAACATGTGTGTGAAACATATACAACATCTAGATAAAACACTTGCAACATGAAAAACACTTACGGCAATATAAGACTAAAACAACTGAAACATTTGGAACACACTATGAATATAAAACTAAAACAACTGAAAAAACACTTACTGCAACATATAACATATGCAACATCCAAATAGAAAATGATTGTAACATACGTCTAGAAACAGATGAAACATTTTGAACAAACACTTGCAACATGCTTCTGAAACACTTGCAACATGTGCAACATCCCCCGACCTACTTTTGCAACATCTATAAGAAACAACTGCAACATACCTTTATAATGAACACCTAAATCATACATTTGCAACATAGAGGAGGAAAAACCTGGGTCGGTCGATTTCAGCTGTCGGGGTCGGAGTCGACGGCGAGCGGCGGCGCACGAGCACCACCGCCACCAGCACCACCAGTACCTGGCTTTGCTCGACGGCGACGGTGGGGATGGGACGCGAGGAGCGCCATGGCCACCGGGGTGGGGGGAGCTCAGTCACCGAGATGAGAGATGGCGCCGCCGGGGGTGTGGATCGAAGGGCGCCACGCCAAGGTGGAGGAGAACCACCCGCTCCCTTGCAACACCGCCGCGCCGCCGCCATAGATCTCACGGGAGGTGAGTGTATCCGGCTCCTGGCTCCTGCTCCATGGCTCTTGCCGAGGTGAGAGATAGGATCGCGCAGATCTGCGGATGTTAGGGGCTCCCGGTGGGGAAGGACGTTGTGCGATGGTGCGCTGCTGTAGGAGATAAGGAGCGTGGAAGGAGTAAGGATGAGTCCGGACTCAGGTCACATGACGAACGCCAGTGCCATAGCATTATTGTTTATGACTTGATTAAGGGGGTGTTTGGTTTCACCTTTTAAATTTTAGTCGTTGTCCCATCGGATATTTGGACACATGCATGGAGTATTAAATATAGACTATTTACGAAACTAAATGCACAGATTAAGACTAATTTGCGCGGCGAATTTATTAAGCCTAATTAGTCCGTGATTTGACAATGTGGTGCTACAATAAATATGTGCTAATGATGGATTAATTAGACTTAATAAATTTATCTCGTGGTTTATAAAGAACTTGTGTAATTTAATTTTTTTTATTAGTATATGAACACTCCATGCGATATTCAACGTGACACCTTTAAACTTTAGTGGCTGTGTCAACCACCCCTAAAACTTTGCGGTGGTACAGTTGAGTTGTACTGCCTACTAGCCAGGCTCCAGAGTCCAAACGTGCCTGCTCTTGCCTCGCCGTCGCTGGTCGCCATCCGCCCGCCCTCCCGGCGTGATGGTCTTGTTCCCGCGCGGACACGGTAGAGGCTATAGGGTCGCCGCCGCAAGTCATACGCCGGTGCTCCTCTGCGGCCTTGGTGAGCTCCCTGCCCTCATCATCCCCAGGCGCTGTACCCTCTCCCTAAGGTCCTACCTCTCCCCCATCCTTACTGCGTTGCACAGCAGTCCGCCTGCTTCCTGTGCGGGGTTGCCTTCAGCCCTATAGCCCAAAGGAATTTAGGGACTTTTTTGTGTGTTGATTGGTATGGGAGAAAATAGAGAGAACGAGATTGGGATTGGAGTTTGTGTTGATTTGGGATGGAAGACAAGGGGAAACGAGATTGAGATGGGGATTAATGTCGATTTGTGGAGAAGTGCTTCTTTGTTCCGCCTTGAGGAAGAACTGTGCTACTGCACTGATGGGGTTGGTCTGCTCGACTGCTCCTATAGAGGATGGTCCATTCAGGAAGTGATTTTAGCACTGAAATGTCCATAATTGCAGCATTGAGTAACAATTTCAGCATAGAGAAAACGATCTTGTTGATCAATCAAAATACAGATGTGTTTTTTTTCCTTCAAACCTGTATTTTGGTACACACACTACTAGATCTCAGTACTGTGTCAGTTCAACAAAAAAAAAATCAATTATTACCGTGTGCTCAATTGTTTCAGGATGTTGTAGGCAGTTGTTCCAAAAAGTACAGTGTGCTCAGGTTATGTATTGCCTTAACATAGAGTAGATGATCCATTCTAGAGACAATTTCTCTATCATGCCAAAGGTGTTGATGAATACTTCTAGTATTATGTTGTTGAATTTGATTCTACTAGGAGCTACGAATCAGTTTTACAAAGGTAACTAGATAGTTTACTGCTCCATCTTAAATTGTTCGAGACAATTACAAAATTTTGAATATCAACACAATGCAGACAAATAAGATTTGAAGGATGAGAATTGACTAGTCCGTTGGGGGTGTTAATTGATATGGAGGAGAAATATTTTAGAGTGCATCGCCGAATGAAGATATAGAAGGTGAAATTTGAAGTGTGTCCAGATGCTCTCACCAAATCTTAAAAGATTCGGACTGATGCCATGGGATATGGCCTGTGGAGTGACGAAGGGGCTGCTTGGTTCCTCTACTAGTCACCGTGTAGCCTTACCAAGCAAATATAGGGAGCAAGCGTGCTTGTTTGGAAGCTTTATCTGAGCATCTTGGGACTTGTGCGGATGAGTTTTTCCTTGCCCGCCTGAGAGAGCCAAATTGGCTCCCCTGGCTAGGCAAGATTCGTTGCTTGCGCCAGCCAGGTCAGGCCAGGTCAAGCAGCCCCGAAGTATCCTACCCTTGCTGGCTGTATGTGTGTCCATTTTGGCCCTGCCAAGGTATTCAGTTCTAGTAATAATTAAGTGCTACTGCTCATTTCTATTTTTTTATTAAAATAATAAATAAATATGTTCCAAACTTGACATGGCCATCTGATATAAAAAAAAATCTATATTACAAATCTCCGAGCCCTTGTCCTGTAGTTCTTCTCCCCATTCTGCCTTTGTCTTGTCACACAAATCACATCGCCGGCAACCTGGTGTTCACTAGCTCCTTGGGCTCCTCCTCGCTGCCCTTCTCGTGTCTTTGTCATACCCCGTATAGATCCGTCTGGGCTTGTACTGATTTCCTCTTTTCCTGGTAAGGAAACCCCTAGCTCACCAGGATTGATTGTTTCTAAGGATTAGTTTTTTTTTTTAATTCTGTTCCTGCCTTTCTTTTCTGTCAATCAAGTCCAAATCTTTATTCCAAACGCCGCTTAATTCATATGCCCCATTAAGTCAGCCCTCTGAACATTTGGCTTTCACATCTGTAAAAAAGCCGGCAAGAACCTGTTTCAAAAATGTGTTGTATAACTCTAGAAAAATAGAAAGTGCATCGTGCCAAGCCTTTCGTAGCTTAACCGACACTGAAGCTGACTTTTGTTGCTCAATTGATTGCCTGTTTCTTGAACAAAGAACTCCTCGTTTGTATGCACGGATTTGTTTGGTTCTACCATTTTTCAATAGTACTCATTGGTTGTTACTGCAAACTTCTTAATCTTTTTTCAATCTCAAACTTGAGTAATGGTCGATAGCAATAGTGCCATGGAGTAGTTTGTGCACTTTTAATGATATGCAAGGCGTTCTTCAGATAAAAAGGCTTACGTGTTACATGTGGCATGCACTTGTATATTTTATAGCACAGTGTACCATGAAGGATCTGCTTACTGAACTCGGTAGCATCTTTTAGCTGATTTGGAATGATTGTCTGATGGATATTTTGCAGGAAGGAGTATCCAGGTCTTGATGATAATGGAACCAAAACATTCAGCTGAAATGTCCAAGTAAAATTTCTTGACTACCCTTTTGAGTAAAAGGGATTGTAACTTTAGCTCATTATATAAGATAAAAGAGATATGCAGGCATCTGGAGAAGCAAAATCAAGCACTAATGGGAACATACCGAGCAATGTCTCACGAGTTGCATAAACTTCAGGTTTATCCCTAGATTGTATGAGCTTTTAAATACATCTAGAAGATTGATATGTGTGCATACTAATTTGTGTCTGCCATGTTATACAGGTACAAGAAGAAGCAATCATGCACAAACTGTATGAACTTATGTCTGCAGAAGGTCTCCTTCCAAAGGTACAACTCCTTTTTTAAAATTTTATCATATATGTATTACTCATAAAAAAATGATAAATGATTCCAAAGGCCGCTCTATCATCACCCAAACTGCTGCAATCTCATTCTGTACTGAAAAATATCATGGAAAAGACAGAAGATAAGGTGAAATTAACATGTCATACTGCCAAAAAAAAGAAGAAAAAATCTCCCATGTTCTGGCCATATGCCAGTCTGCGGTTCTTACCAAATTCTCTTCTGCTTAGTTCAGTCCTTCACTTCATGTTCAACTGCTAAATGAGTACAGCATAAAAATGGAAATGCATATTCCCCCCCAAAAAAATGAAATGCTGACAT